GGCTGTCCCTGTCCCCAAGTACCGCCGTGGACAATACCCAATGTCAATGCTGGTTCTCCCTCTGCCAGTTCACTGTGCCTGGTCACTGAATGGGTGGGGGTTTCCCAGCCCCATACTGCTCGGTGCTGACAGCCACATGAATAAGACCAAGAAATCAATGAGAGTGATGGTTCCCCACCCCAACAGAACAGGGACAGCCCCCACCCAACAGAGCAGGGGCTTCTGCAGGTTCACAGTGGTGAAGGTGTTCTGACAGTCAGACTTGCCTCTGTAGACTCAGTGGAACATGGCAGCTGTGGAGATCTGGAGCACACATGTGCACTTATGTGCACACTCACATGTGTGTGCAAATTACAGGACCTGGGATTTACAAAATAATTGACAGACTATATCCACACCCTGCCTCCCCAGCATCCCAGGAAATAGTCTGGGAATGTAAAGGGGCTCCAGCAGGGAGCAAAGGGTATGTCTGATGGTCCAGGGGGCTGGAATCAGGATTCTCCACCCCCAACATGCAAGGACTCTCCTGACAGGCAGCCACTTCTCACACAGTCCCATTTGTAGTCTGAGCGAAGGAGGTCTAATAATGTGCATGTTTCAGGGTGGTCAGAATAGCTATGATCACCCATTGAATGCTCTATTTAGATTATTATTGATTTTATCAGAAGGGCTGAATGTTCATTCTAGAGGCCTCCTACCACCCCCCAGGATTCACACATCACAATAATGATGGGCATGATGGTGTATGTCCTGGCTGGCAGGTTCTTTGAGGCATTGTGGCTTGCTGCTTTAGAATCTGCCACCTCATTTAATACCCTGGGGAGTCCTATAAGTAGAACTGCTATTGTCCATCAGCAGATGAAGAAACAGGGAGGTGAAGTTACACACCCAGGGTCACCCAGCAGGCAATGGACACAGCTAGAGCTTCATTCAGAAACAGCGGCGACACTGCCATTTAGGATGGTATGCTGGAGACCAACTGCTCAGATCCAGGCTGTACATGGGACTGTGGGATCTGTGGTTCAGAATAAGGCCCTCAGGAAACACCAAAAAGCAAACCCTTAGTAGGGCCCAGAAATTTGGAAGAGGAAGTATAGGTAAAATGATGAGCACAGCGTGGCTGAAGCCCCAAAGTGAAGAAAGGGCAGCTCAGGTCCTACTTCTGCACTTCTGACCTGCTTCACCTCTGCCCTTCTAACTCATGAAGCTCCAGAAGGTTCTTGTATCTGCCCCTCACCACTTCCCCTCTGCAGTTTCTGCCATCGTCCTTCCCTGCCCCTCCCCCTTCCCAACCACCACCTAGCCATCTTGCATGTTGTTCCTGTGCTCTCTCTAGGCTTGGCAGTAACAGACCTGCTGGAGTCCTACTCACCGGCCCTTCTTACTGTACTGCCTTGCCTCAGGAGAGACTTAAGCTTGAGACAGGGAATCTAGACTGAGTCAGCCAGGGAAACAGCCGAGGGAGATGGCTCCAGGTGCTAGTTGCTTAAACCTGACAGTCTGCACAGGACCACACATAATAAGCCAGATGCAGTGGTGTGCTCCGAGATCTCAGCATTCCTGTGGTGAGTCAAGAGGCTGGAGTGCACTGAGCAGAAGAAACAAGGGACCCTGCCTCAGCAAGCTCAACAAGGCAGACGGAGAAAACCTACTCCCAAAATATGTCCTCTGACCTCCACTCAAAATGATACCCATATATACATGTTTTGGTTTATTTGTGGGGGAAAAAAAGCATGGTAAGTAGTGGTAGTAGAAACAGAATGGGCAAAGAACAGAGTCAGGATTGGAATTCCCCAGGGCTCCAAAGCCTGCTCTCTGTCCACTGCCCTGCCCGATGGAGAATGTCCACTGCCCTGCCCGATGGAGAATGTCCACTGCCTTTGGGACTTACTGGCTTTGAAGTCCTCCAGCTATGGACTGAAACACTGGCTCTGGTATCACTCCAGCCAAGCTTCTCTTTCTTCCCAAACCTTGGCTTTCTGTCTCAGGAAATGAGGTCATACCTTAAGAATTATTCAACTAGAAATTAGCTCAGTGGGTCAAGTGCTTGCCTAGCATGCACAAAACCCTGGGTTTCATCCCAAGCACCAAGTAAACTGGATATGGTGGTACATACCTGTAATCCCAGCATTTCAAAATTGGAGGCAGTAGGATCAAGAGTTCAAGGTCAGCCTTGGCTATATAACTAATTTGAGGCCAGCCTAGACTACATAAGACCCCTGCCTCAAACAAAAAAATTCCCCCCTTTGGCTTGATGTTAGAGCACTTGCCTAACAAGGATAAGGCCCTAGATTCCATCTCTAGCACTACAGAAATAAATAAAAAAAACAAACAAACAAACAAATAAATAAATGTTTGCCAGCTGGTTGTGGCACAAGCTTTTAATCCCAGCACTCAGGAGGTGGAGGCAGGTAAATCTGAGTTTGAGGCTAGCCTGGTCCACAGAGAGAGTTCCAGGACAGTCAGGGCTGCACAGAGAAACACTACTTGAAAAAGTAATATTGGAGATTGAGATCTGGCAATGTGGCTCAGTGAGTAAAGGTGCTTGCCTGCAAGCCTGGTAACTTGACTGTGATTTCCAGAACCCATATAAAGGTAGAAAAGGGACCAGACTCCTAAAACTTACCCTCTGACCTTCAGTGCACACTGTGGTATACACACACAAATGCATGGACTGGTGAACACACACAGACACAAAGAGTTCTGCCTCTCCAGGGAGTTCAAGGCCAATGTCTGCTGCAAAGCTCTGCTTTCATCAGGCTCATGTTAGAATTCCTGGCTACTTGTTTCTACCATGTGGCAGCCAAGGTAAGCCCTGGAGATAGTTGTCCATGGTCTGGACACTCACCTCTAATGTTGAAGAGGCAGTTAGGCCCACAGGTGCTCTGCAGGAGACAATGCTCTCTATAACTACCTCACAGATATGAGAACTGAGACTTTGAAAGTCAAAGAAGCCACTGGGGAAAGGCTTGAGGGTTTTCCAGATTCCCAATACACTCTCCCATCAGAAGGAAACAAAAAAGTCCACAATACTATGATGAGGGCAACCTTGCTGAGGGGCACCAGGAACAGGTGTCTAACCTGTACCATCTGGCTTTTCCAGACCTGGCCTGGCAAGTTCACTTGGCCTATCTATGTAGTCAAGACTGTCCTTGAACTCCTGATCCTCCAGTCTTGGCCTCCAAAGTACTGAAAGGGACAGGTCTGTGCTGCCACAACCCTGATAAGTCTCAGCCTTGCTAAGGGCACCAGGGCACCAGGCCAGAAATGTCTGAGTCAAGCCCTTCATCTGCCATTTCTCAGCTTTGTGGTAAATATAGCTGTCAATCGTCTGTCTGGTCTGAGCCTTGACTTCTCCAGGAAAAGCTTGTCTGTCAGAGCTGTAGAGCTCAGCAGCATGAGACCTAAGCAGGGAACCTTCTAAGGCAGAGCCCAGTCCCCCTCAGAGATGGCAACAGCCATGCTACCCTCCTCTCAGGGATGGCTGCAGTCAGAGAAGGATGGGAGAGCCGTGGCTGGGGAAAAAGCCAGGTCCTCAGCACTCTTCCCCCACAGAGTTAGCTCTACCCTTCACCATGCCAAACTTACCTCAGCCTCTGGGAGGCAGGACAGTGTGGCAGGAAAAGCACATAGTCAAAAGTTCACAGATGGAGAAACTGAGCCTCAGAGAGGAAACGTGAGGCAGCTAGGAGAAGATGTACTTCCCTTCCTTGGAGCCTTCCTTCATTTACACCATAGCCCCAGCCTCAACACCCACCCTTTTCTCCACTGGCCTGGATCCTACTGGCCCAGCCCACGCTCAGCCCTTCACAATCCTCCTGCCCTCCAAGTCTTCAGCAGCAACTCTTCACCTAACAGGCCACCTCACATATACCCACTTCTTAGGCACCCACCAACTGGCTAGAGCATTTCCTAGCTACTGCTTTCCACTACACCTAATGTGAGGGAGGCCCTGAGGGTGGGGCGTGTTTTACAGCAAGAAGGCTTGGTAGGTAAAGGCCTTGCTGTGTAAGCCTGGTGACCTGGGCTCAATCCTCTGACCTCCACATACTTACACACACACACACACACACACACACACACACACACACACACACACGTATATGTATGTCTCTCTACATAACACTTCACTACCCTGGAACTCAACTATGTAGATAAACTCATAGAGATGTGTCTGCCTTCCAAATGCTGGAATTAAAGGCGACAATAACTTTTTTAAAAGTCATGTTTATGGAGCCCTGTGTCTGGGACCCAGGATACAGCAGGGAGAAAACAGGCCCTGCCCTGCTCTGATGCTGGTGCCTGGTAGTAACAAATATGCTATTGCATAGAGAGGTCAAGTGACAATAAGTGCTATAAAGAGCAGTGGAGCAGAAAAGGGTGAGGAAGGGCAGGGTGGGAGGGTCTCTCTGTGGTCAGAGCTCTCCAGGAAGGAAGAGACAAAGTGATGTGACATCACAGGGAAGAGTGTCCTGGGGAGAAGGAAAGCGAGAGCAAAAGGCCTGAGGTGAGAAGACTCATGGACATCAGCAAGGTGAGAGAGAGAGAGAGAGAGAGACAGAGAGAGAGAGAGAGAGAGAGAGAGAGAGAGAGACAGAGAGCGGCCTGGTGGAGGGTGCAACAAGCCGTAGGCAGGACTTTACTGTGACCATTACAGGCTCTGGGCAGAAGAATGAAAGTTCGGACTTAAGCTTTGGTGACCGTGTGAAGAACAGGCTCCAGGGGTTGAGAAGAAGCAGGGAGAGCCTGGAGGAGTGAAGCCTGACTACCACACAGGAAAAACATGGCAAGGGGAGGCACAGTAGATGCAGACTTGCCAGCACCAGGCACCTGGAAGCCCAGCTAATGATGGGAGTTTATTCCCATTGAGCAATGGGGAACCAAGGGACCTTCTGGGCACAGGTGAGAGGCTTGCAACTCCACTGTGCTCCACTCAGTTTGACAGGGCTTTCCCAGTCCAGGCCTACTGAGTGCCTGCCGCTGGACTCAGGGGAACATGTTAGGACTGCTAACACGTGTGAGGAACACCGACTACTTCCCTGACCTCTGATGTCATTTTCCCAGCACTCCCTAACTGAGGTGGGTCCTATTACTTTTTGGATTTGTCAAATGAGGAATATAAGGCACAGAACCACATCATGCAGCTAGCAGAAGGCAGAGCTGGGGTGGAAGCCCAGACTGTAGACCTGTCTCTAAAAATCTGCATTGGCCTCTTTAGCTGAGCCTGCTCTCTGCCCACAAGAGAGGCTAGTCCCCCTGCCAGGCATCAGATACTGGGGCTACTCTAGCTGTCAAAGAAGGATCAATGCATCCACCCCCAACCCTGCTTACAGAGGAAGAAAGTAAGAGGAAGAGACACTAACCCTGAACCCCAAAGCTTGCCCTCACCTAAGACACTAATTCAGGTCTCGGATGCCAAAAGCCTGAGCTGGGGGTTCCCAGGCACCATGCCTTCTCTTGAACTTCCTTAATCTGAGCCTATTTCAGGGGCTAGGGGCTCCTCAACCTGGAGTTTATTCATTCTGCTTTTTCCTCCCTTTGGAGGGGGAAGAAATGGATGCCCCTGCCAGGGGCCCTCAAGCTCCAGTCACAGATCCTCTACCTCTGTTCTCCTGACTCTTTCCAAAGCAGTGTTTCATTCAGAAGTGTCCTGCCATAGGTCCTGCCCTGCCCTGCCGATCCACTGTTCTACCCTTGAGCCCAGCTGGGACAGTAAAGCAGACCCATGACCTTTTCAGGGCTCCAGGGCAAGGAAACCCAGTAGAAGGAACTACAGTGTTTGCAGATGGGGGCAGGTCCGAAGTCACTCCGTAAAAATGAATTCCTACAAAAACATAAACCAGCTATTTACCTTGTGAATGTTATTGCCCTTAAAAAAAAAAAAGGAAAGCTCTCATTTTATTAACAAGAGAGAGAGAAGGAGAGAGAGAGAGATTCCTAGTTGCCCTTTTATTGGTAAACCAGGACACACAGTCAACAGAAACTCACAGGAGGCTGTGGGCCCAATTTATTAACCACTTTGTCTCATAAAATCCAGCATTTTTATTAAAAGACGATGGCCAAATGCTTTGCTTGTCTTTAAGAAAATTGCCTTTAATGTCAGGCAAGACTTGGTTTGGTTGCTTTTGTTTCTTTTTTTAAAAATAATTTTTCAAACAAAGCTCAGGTTCTCCTGCCTGCACATGCCTGTTCCTCCAGCCGCAGGAGGGAAAGTGGTTTCTGAATCCATCGGATATGTCGGATTTCTTTGTGGCATCCACTCCATCGCTCAGCAGCCAGCCATGATGTCATAAGCCCATCAGATTTCCGGTAGGGAGAAAACACTGGGGAATTGGAAAGAATGGATGTTTCTTCCCTGTCAAGAAGGGGAGTGGGAGTGGGGGATGGGGGGATGGTGTGTTTGGAGGAGCCTGGCTGCAGGGAGAGAAGAGAGGCAAGCTCAATGTTTGTGATAGTAAATGTCAAACAGAACCTGGAAAGCCCAGCCATCCAGATGTTTTTCTAATATCCAGATGTCTGGCAAGGAACAGACTATATACCATCCCAGGAGGCCCTCGGCATTTCAGCTTTGACCTCAGGTCGGCAGTGACTTCTCACTGCCAGGAGCTGGGCATCCTGTACCCTCCCTTCACCCACTCTCAGGGGTGGAATTTTTTCTTTCCTTCAACATTTTTACACAGGGATGGTAGGGGTAACCAGGTCCAGGTTTTTAAAAGCTGTTGAAGCTGTGATTTGAAAAGTTCAGTCCTTGGAATTAGCTTCCAGAGAGTACACTGTGTAAGCCAAAAGGAGGGGGGAAATCCCTCAGCCAACACACACACACACACACACACACACACACACACACACACACACACACACACCATATGTGACTCAAGCCATAGGACTTAAAACCCAAAACAAAACCAGGAGGCTGTGAACAAGGACTCAGGCTGACACTGAGAACAGAGGAGCCTCCCCCAGGAGCATACCTCCCCCAAATCAGAAAAACACACCAACAGCTTTGTTCTTCCTGACAAAGCCCTTGCTTTCAAGGCACCGACAGTTGCCAACAAAAGCACAGGGTAGAACTAATTTACACTCCAACTAGGGCTTCCAGGAGTCATAAAATATGGGAATAGAATCAGCTTGGCCAAAGAAACTGCCTCCCTACCACTGCAGCAGGACAGGCTTCAGACAGGGCAGGTTGTGGACTCCTGGTGGCCTGGCCACGTGCCCCACTGAGGTCACCTCCCAGATCTGTGACATCACAGCTAATTGCTTCTGTAAATGAGCCAGGAACTGCAGGCCCCTCAGGGCCACAGCCCAGGGACTTCCACAGAAATGCTGAGGACAGGCAGCTGTGGAGGGATGCAACTCCAATTAAACCAGAGTCCTCAGATGACAAGCCAAAGGGTGGCCAAGGGGGCAGTGGCCGGCAGAAAGCAGAAGGGAGCCAGCTGGGGCTCAGGGATAGAGGTGGGGTTTTGTGCCCACTATAACAGCCCATATGTTCTGCAGATGAGGAAAGGAGGTTGAGTGGCCTGCCCAAGGTCACCCAGCTAATTAAGGGGACAGCCAATACCACAAGTCTGCCACTGCACAGTTCTTCCTGAATGCTATCTAATTTAATCCTCACAACAGCCTTTGAGGGGGGAGGGGGATTACCATCAACCTCTGTGTCTACAAGAGCCAATAGAGGAGCAGAGAGAGGTTAAGTCATTTGCCCAAGGTTACACAGCTCCTCATTAACAGAATTTGGCCTGAACTTTTGATTCTGAATCCAGTGCTTGCTGCTGGACAGGAGGAGGTAGTTGAGGTTTAGCTGGGAGTAGTGAATGATTTAAATACACGTTTAAAATGCTGGTGATCCCCACAGAACAGAAGGGAGTAAATCACAGCAAATTAATTTTTTTTTTTTAAAGCTAATCTAGGCAGGAGGGTTGGCTGGCCAGGGAGGAGGGTGGGAGTCTGCTTTGATTCTGTCCCTGGCAGACCCTGAATAAAGTATGTAGACTCTTGCCATGTGTGCCTGCTCAAACCTGAAGTGGGGTGGGCTGGAGGGACAGTCTGTAAAAGCTTCATCAGGCATCTGCATGAATCCGACAACCTGCCATGGAGAAGGTGCCAGGAGTACAGGTCTGCTGGACACAGGAGCCATGAAAAATCAAATTACAGCCAGTTCTTCCAAGCAGGATTCCTACTTTGCAGCCAAGAGTTTCAGTGATCTATGAGTTACTATTTAGGGGTCTGACTGACTCTGGGTATGGGAAGCTGTTTGGGGCCCTCACTGGTCACTGCCTTCTCTCAGAGCAGTGCTAAAGGGAACTGCATGCAGGAAGCAGGAGCAAAGGAGGGGCTGGCCTGAGCCCAGGGGCTGGGACAGGAGTTCCCTGACCTCCCCTGGTGAGGTGCCTCATCCCTAAATCTGTGCCTGCTTCTCCTGCTCTTTCCCTCACCAGGTTTTGCTGGCTTCTTTTACTTTATTTCTGTGAACATGATGTGGGGTGATGGAGCCCAGGCCTTCAGCCAGGAGAAAGGAGAAAATTCCCACAGGCCCATCTGGCTGAACAGCCCCATTTTCCTTGGGAGCTGTTAGCTGCCCACTAGCCACTTTGTTTTCACCCAGTAGAGATTTGGCTTCTTTCTTCACCCCGCTTCTGCTTAATGGTGATGACAAACATTAACCATATTGTCTATATAGGGAGTCATCTCAGATTACAGGAGTCTCCCAGCATGAACTATCAAGTCAGAGAAGCCTTCCTGGAGGTGGTGACGATGGTCCTTGGGGCCTAGGATAGATGAGGAGCATGATACCTCTTTCTCTCCGGCCAACAGGGGAGGCCCTCTTTGACAGCCACCCAAGCTGCCTTCCCTCCCTGTGCCCCATTCCCTTCCTGTGTGTTGTTTGTCATTGTGTCTCTACAACTGTCTGGAATCCCTGTGAGGAATGAGACTAGATGTATCTTAGCCGCTGCCTAACCCATGGTAGATGTTTTGTTTGGTTTTAATCGACAGAATAAACAGGGCTGTCAGGATGGCTCAGCAGGTAAAAAGTGTTTGCAGCCAGCACAAGGACCAGGAGTTCAATCCCAGCAAGGGTTAAAAAAGAGGAGGAAGAGGAGAAGGAGGAGGCCTAGGTTCAGTTCCAGGCACCCACATCAGGTGGCTCACAACTTCCTGTAACTCCCATTCCTAGGTATCTGATGCCTTCTGGCCTGTATGGTCACCTGCTTGCACACTGTGCCCAGAAACTCATAAAGCCACCTGCGCTAGTGTGTGTGTGTGCGTGTGTGTGCGCATACACACACACACATACACACACACAGATACATAAATTAAAACAATATGTAATGGTTTTTGACCCATGTTCTTCCTAACTGTCCTGGAACTAAGTAGGCAGACCAAGCTGATCTCAAATTCACAGAGATCTGCCTGCTTCTATATCTTGAATGCTGGTATTAAAGACATATGCCACCACGCCTAGCAATAAATCTTTTTTTTAAAGAAGAATAAACAATACATACAAAGGTCCCATAGGGACAAAAGGTTCAGAAGAAGGTGATAAAAAATGAGCCTGAGCCTCCCCCAAAATCAAGTCGGTATCTGTATCTCTTCTCTAGTAGACTCCCTTCCGTTCTCCCCTGGGTCAAAGTGACTTTCTTCCCTTATAGAAGAGTATCACTAATCTACCCCATTTCGTCTGCCTCGGGCTCAGTACCTTTGAGGAAGAATAAAGCAAACATTAGCGTTCCCTTCAGAACTCTGCCACTAGCCTCCATTCTTCCCTTTATCCAGGCTACAGGGCCACCTGAGCAATAGAGGTAATGACAAACAAAACCAGAGTCCCGACCCGAACACTATCCCTCTGTCCCATCTACATCCCCCCCCCCAAAAAAAAAAAGCCTGGCGTTTCTCCTCACTGAAGCTGAGTGGGAAGAGAAAAGCAGCCAGAACACTTGGTGTTAGTCCTCTCTTCCGACTCCCAAAATGTGATGGGACACGTTATTTATTCTCTTGCCCTCAGATTCCTCACAGAAGAGACAAACACTTCGGATGCAGCCAACAAGCACGAAAGGACAGATCGGCTGCATCAACTCATCAGCTTCCCTGGTCTTGCTGATCTAGGGTAAAGGGAACTGCTGGACTTAATGCTCAGGGCTCCTTCCAGCACAAGTCGCCTTCGCTGGGGCAAGGCAGCTGTGCCGTGATGGAAAGCCTGCGCTCCCAGGGACGCGGAGGGGTCTGTGCGTGTGAGCGAGCTGCCCCTTCCCAGCCGTGAGCTGCTCAGTGCACTCCAGCAAACTTTCCAGCGGCGTCCACACCTGCTCGCGGCTTTGAGGCTCCACAAACCATCAGCGCGCGACCACAACCTGCCCTGCTCCTGGGTCGCTGGAGGTTCCCTGAGTCCCAAGTCGGCACCACCACACACTCTCCAGCCACTGAGAATCTCAGCCTTGGGGATCAGTCTGGCCGCGCTCCAGACCTCCCCGGAGCCTCCTCCGCACCACCTGCGCTCATCTACATCGCCTCGGGGGCCCTTAGGTCGGTTGCGTCTACACAGCTTCGGCAGTCTCCAGGTCAACACTGCCCAGCACATGAAAGATGCCCTCAAGATTCACCCGATGCCTTATCCCAGTGCCTACCTTGCTCGCGTGCTCACGCTCCTGTCCTGGCTATGTCTTCTGGTTCACACATTTTGCAATCTTGTCATTGGAAAAAGGAAATCTTGTAATCCTCCTGAAGCCACGAGGCTGTTTGCCCCAACCCCTTTCTCTGTTTTTGTTTTTTGTTTTTGTTTTTTTGTTTTCTTCTTTCAGGACAATACTCGGCCTCAACGGCCGCTGGCCGCGGGACTCCAAGCAGACACAGCTGGCCTCGGGGGCGTGTCCCTGGGCGGAGAAAGGGTGTGGCCTGGGCGGGCGAGGCGGAGTCTCTTGTCCGGCCCTCCCTCCGCCTGTAAACCGTGGCCGGCGACCGAGGCTCCTGTTCCAAGCTTATGATTGGTCGGCATGCGATGCTGATGCCTAATTGGTTGAGACGAAGAAGGCTCAGACGTAGTGGTGGTATGTAGATTTTATTCTTTGCCTTTTTCTTCTCTGAGGTGGTCGCTGCTCTGTGGGTCCCTCCTGAACTCTGCAGTCCTCTCCTCTCTGCCTCTGTGCTCCCAATCATAACGCTTAATGCCGCCCCGAATGACAACTGCATTTCTTTGTCCTTCCCTACCAAATGGTTCCTTGAGGTCAGGACTCGAAGTTTCTGCTGCCCAGTAGTGTATCCCCAATGCCTGCCTCATAGTAGGTGTGCCAAACACATTTGATTACATTAATAGGAAATGAGCACATGAGTTTTTTGGAGCTATCTTTAGTGCTGGTAACAGTCTTAGAGGGAAAGAAACGGAGTTATAGAGAAATGCAGTCGCCTAAGAGAGGGAGCGACAGGGCTGATTGTGGCTACACATATGGTTATATGTAGGCTCCAGCTTTGTAGCCAGCAATAGCTTGTGGGGTATCAAAACCTACTTCTCATGTGTCGAGGGTTGGACTAAAACTGTGAGTTATTTCAAGGAATGCCCTGTCCCTAGCGCTGCACTTGGCAGCTAAATGGTGTAGTTCCTGCCTCCATGCTAACATGCTAGTAACTGTTGAGCCCTTTTCCTCCATGGGAATCTACCTGTTCAACCCAGTCTGTGTTGTCAGTCTCTGACAGTTTGGGCATGGTGCCCTGTGCTAAGGGAAAGCCACAAGAATGAACAAACCATGGGCAAATTGAGGAGCCCGGATGCTGATCTTTGGTGGGGATGTCCTTGGAGACTCCCTAAAAGGTCTTTTTGATTGAGGAGTGGTTTTTGAGATGAGATTGGGAAAGGGCTTCCCTGATAAAGGAGTGTGTAGAGCTGCTCCTGGTGTTGGATCACGATGGGTTAATGGAGTCTGTTTCCTGTATAATGTGAACTCAGAGTCCAGCACACAGAAAAGCTGGCTTGGTGACTGATGAATGAGTTCTTGTGTCTGTGACCCCACATGGCCTTCTTATAAAAACATCAGTTGTTGGATTTAGGACCCACCCTAATCCAGCGTAACCTCATCTTGGGTCAATTATATCTGTGAAGACCTGATTTCCAAACCAGGATCATTTGTACCTTTCCTTTGGATCTGTGAACAGCAAGAGCAGAAGCTCCGAGGCTTCAGGGGACACAGTCCCTTCCCAGCTGTCCACTGCTCTCTCTCTAGCTCATTTCTGATCCTGGAACCTGGTGGCTACTGCCTATCCAAAGCCCAGAAGAGAGGCTGCCCTCTGAATACCAGGGCTTCTCAGACGTTCCAACCAACTGTGTGCATGTGGTGCTCTGAGAAGGTCCTCCTGCTGGCCCATCCTCCCACCCACCCCCACTGCCTCCTCCCTACCCCCACCCTAACCCAATGGACAAGGACAATTAAAGCTATTTCACAAGCAGCTGGTGATTAATCACCAAGTTAATTAAAGAGGCAGTAATTGCACTCCTGTTTCAGGTGGGAATGATGTCTTGGGCAGGAAATGGGTGGTGGGCTTAGGTCTGTCTCCCTGAGAAGGTGGAGCCAGCTAGGCATGAGGAAAAACAAGTGATATATTTTAGAATGGATGCTTCCACCATAGCCAAAATGTTTATTTGACATAGTTAGGCGGTGAGCCTAAACGTTTATCCTTGTGCATTTCCACATCTTCAAAATATTTCATTAATGATGAGGGGGAGCTCACTCAGGGGAAGGTTAAGTATTTGTAAACTCTAGTTCCAGATTTATAAATGACCTCAAATACCAGTGTGCCTCAATTTACACAATGGAAAGGCCTTTAAAAATATGTGCAAATCGAATCCCGTTTGCCCACCCAGTACATCTTAAGGCTGCTGATGCTCCTTCTTCATTTCTGATTGATTTTCCCTGGCAGAGGCGCCAAATTCGTTGCTTTAAGTGTCAGGCTCTCCCTGTCAAGTAGTTAATGACCTACAAAGCACTTAAACCGCACTGGAAGAGATGCTATTTGGAGGCATCCCACTGTGTCCCCTCTCCTATTGTCAGTAATCATCCTTCATTTATTTGCTCTTATAGGTTTTGAATTTGCTCTCACATTTCCCTAAAGCCAAAGCCCTCCAGAGAGATTCCAACTCTCCAGGAGCTCAGATGTGTGCTGGGGTTGGTATCTGGGGGCTGTTTTAGTGGGAGTGCCTTGTTCTTCCCCACCTGGAGGAACTGGGGCACTGAACTATTCCTATCTCAGTTTCCCTCGCTGTGATGTCCCAGGCACCAGCCTGTATTTAAGCATCTGGTGAAGAAAGGAGTAAGAGTAGAGGCCCAAGGTCAGGGTGAGCAGAAGTGGTGGCAGAGATGAGCTGCAAATCCAGAGCTTAGCAGGGAACATGACTACGTAGCGGAGCCAGGCACACCATCCACCTTGGTTGAGAAAAGCAGATGAGCTTCAACCAGAAGGGAAAGCACATTTGCTTTCCATGGCTGTTGTGACCAATTACTGCAAATATGGCTTAAAGCCTCATCAATGCAAAGAAACCAAATGGTGTGCATAGTCATACTCCTCTTGGGGCTTTAAGGGGAACCCATGTTGCCTTTGAGAGTCACCTTCCCTGGCCATGGCCCCTTCCTCCATCCTCAGACCCATCACAAAGCATCTTCTACCCTCCCTCTTCACTTTGCTCACCTCATGGCCTCCCTGAGCTATAATCAGCCCGTGTACACTTTTTATAAGGACATTTGTGACTCTCAAAATCCAGGATTGTCTCTACATCTCAAGAGACTTAATCCCATCTGCTATGTAAGGAGCATCGCAGGCTCTCAGGATTAGGATGGGGACATCTTGGGAGGGCACAGAAGTCCATTCAGCAAAGTGGTCTGTGCCATGGGTTCTGAAGCCATGCTGAGGCTCGAGTCTCCTTTGCAACACCCACTGGTTAGGCTGCCTTGGGTAAGTTCTTTTATCTCTTGAAGCCTCAGCTTCCTCACCTGTAAAATGGGATCAGTGTTTGTTACCTGATGACAAAATTAACTGTGAGGTAGCGGGTACTTCCTACCAGAATAGAGGCTAAGAGAGGTCCTTCTGAGGAAGGACAGAAGAGGAGGCAGGGAAGGGCAGGCTGGAGTGAAGAGGGACATCATCAGCTTCAAAGGAGGAGTGTGCTCTCACCTTACATGCATGAACAAATTCTGTTCTGGGAGTGACAACAGAAGACATAGAATGTGTCTAAACAGGTTTGGATTTGTGTCATTGCAGTGAAGTCTTTTTGTTTGTTTTTTGAGACAGGGTTCCTCTGTGTGGCTTTGGAGCCTTTCCTGTAGACCAGGCCGGCCTTGAACTCACAGAGATCTGTCTGCCTCTGCTTTCCTTGTGCTGGGATTAAAGGCCTGTGCTGCCATCAACGCCCACCCAGCTGTGTTGAAGTCTTATTCACTTAACATAAGCTTCATTCTCTCTGGGTATACAACTCAGTGGTCTTCAGCATACAACACAAGGCTGTATAAATACCACTGCTAGATCATTTCTAGAAAGTTCTCATGAGCCTATAAAGAGATCCCACACTTACCAGGCATCCCTTGAAGCAGGGTAGTATAGACTGGAACTGCCTAAAGGTCTCTATGGACCTAGACCTAGGAAGACAGAGCAGCCTGAGCTCTGCAGTGTGAGTTAGTAATTCAGCCTTTGGGCTAGACTAGCCTGCAGTGGGTAATTCCCTCCCTGCCACACCCGGCTTCCTCACTTTGTCCTTTGAGACAAAGATAACCTACCACACCAACATACAGGACTAAGGGGAGGCCCACATGCTGGCAGTAGTCATGTTCAGCCTGCCCCTCCTGGTGTATGCAGTGCTGGGGATCAAGCACAGGGCACTTCCCAGTCCCATATTTACCACTTTTCTTTCTGTATCTGGTGCCCCAGCTCTGGAGCATGCCCATTTCTCTAGGACTCAGCTGTTCATCAGAGAAGCCAGCAGCCTTCCTGGCTCCACTGAAGTACAGGAGATATCAGAGTCACAGCTGAGGGGCTTCTACAGGAGGGGGCGGGGCATGGCTGATCCTGCACTGTGCCTCCCACACTGTTTCAGTCACCCTGGGATGGCTATGGTTCTACCAGAACACAGGGACTTCAGAAGGGTTTCTCTTCAGTGTCACCATCCTCTGCCCTGCCGCTGCCCGCCCCCAGGCCCTTTATGCCAAGGGTGCCTGACCTCACCTATAGGCAGGAAGACAGGCTGTCTGGTGAAGTGAGAGTGCAGGACATTGCTGAGCCATCTGAGGCTGCCCCTGGCAGTAACGAGCTTCTAGGAGCCCCTGATCTGATGTGCCAGATGACACAGAGCCTCTTGTGAGCTGGCAGTTTTGAGCACTGCTGGCCTGTCCTCTGTGGCTGGACCTAGAGCTACCAGGCAGGTGGTACAGCCTCCAGAATCCCTATGTTCTATAGGGACTCTTTTGGGTGTGAATGCCCTAACATGCCCATCTCAATTCTCATGTGTGTAAAGTGGGTTACGTTTCATGAATTCAATTTCCACTTTCTGGAAACCGGGAAAAAAGATTCTCCCTTTTCAGCAAGAACAGGCACTGAGAGGCAAGCAAAGGAAAGGATTCATTTACTCTTTAAACAAATGACTCTTGAGCCTGGAGCATAAGTCAGGGTCCAGACAAAGAGACGCAAACAAGGTTCCTCTGCACTGGGAAGCTCAGAGCCTCCTGGGGGAGCCCCTGAGTGTGTGAACTGATTGAATACAAATAAACCACCTGGTGTGGGGAGGGGCTTAGGGAAGCTTCCCTGGAAAAGGGTATCTGTACATCCTCCTCTTCAACCAAAAATAGGATGAGGGGCCTTGGCGGTGGGTGGGGGCACACAGAGGTGTGGCCTTGGGCATCTTTGACCAGCAGCCACAGGTCAGACTTGAAGTGACTTTAGGTCAAAGACAGATGATCTGTCAGGAACACCCCACCACCACCACCACCCCAGCAGAGTTGTATATAGCTAGGCAGGCTTGAAATCACTATGAAATAGAAGAACTTGAATGACTTTGAAATTTTTAAAATCATATTAATTGTATGTGTGACTGAACATGTGCATATGTGGAAGTTAGAGAACAATTGGGGAGGGGATCAGTTTTCTCCTTCCCTGATGTGGGTGGGTCTCAGGAAATTCACATCATCAGCCTTGACTGAAAGCATCTTTACTCATTGAGCCATCTCATTGGCTCTGATCTGGAACTTCTGATCCCCCTACCTCTGATTCCTGAGTGCTGCGATGCCAGATATGTGTCATCATGTACCAGGAATCAAACCCAGAGCTTTGTACATCTGAGGCGTGTACTCTTCCAAATGAGCTATCTCCCAGCCCAGGACCATCTATTCTTACCCCATCCTCTGCAAAAGGTCTGACAAGTGTTGAAAGATTGATGGGTGGAAAGAGGCCCGAGTGCTGGCAAATGAATCAAGCCTCAATCTTGCACATAGCAGAGGTCACTGTGACGTTGTAACTCACCGTTGGCTATGTCGATGCCCATTTCTCCCAGGATCAATTGTTAAAAAGAGCATTCTAACCCATTGAAGGAATTTGTCCCCTTTGTTACAATGAATTTGGCCATGAAGTACTGCTATAGAAATATTGATTTGGTGCAGAATTGGGAAAGTCTGAAGGAGAAGAGGCTAAAGAAGACAGGGGTCTGAGGAGAAAACCAGTCCCCAGATTATTCCAGGCCCATGATAGAATGACTGTGTTCTCATCTAAGGCAAGGGGTTTAGTCACAATCTTGTCCATAGAGCCTAAGGACTTTAAAGGAGGCAGGCCACAGAGCAAAAGCTTTGCTGGGCCCCCAAAGGTCCACAGAGTGGTAAGATATATCCACTCCAGACATAGCTACTTGCAAAGTAAGTTTTCAGGCAATGAGAGGGTGCCAATTACAGCTGCATTATCCCAGATTATGAAGCTCCTGAGAGGCCGCTCAGGCTTCCAAGCATGCTGGGCCTGGGAATTTCTAGGGGTCACCTGAGATCCCAGTGTCCAAGTTACCAGGTACAGACTGCTAGACAAATATAACTCCAGAACCTGCAGTGACCTGCCTCTATTTCACCAAGGATATAGACCACCAGGAGGTTGGACTACCCCCCCACACCCCCACAGCACACAGAGTGGGAGGAGGAAGAGAGGAAGACAGGAGGGAGAGAATTTAAATATGGACCATCTCTGCAGAGAGTTTGGGTGGGCTTCCCTAGCATCAGGTCCCTTGATAACTCTTTCTATTCCATCCCTCCCCATGATATCACTCCTTGGCCTGACCCATGGAGTCATGCTCACATTTGGAACCAGCCCAGAGTTGCCCTAGCCCTTCTGGGCTTGTCTTGTCAGCTTCTCTCAACGTAGTTTCTGCTTTGGTAAAACAGAGATCAGCAACCCCATCCCACCCCACCCCTCACCCTCCTACACACACCCCTACACAACCTGACTTGCAGGTCTATTTTCATAATTAAATGAGATGTTGCAGATAAAAAGTCCAAATACAAAAAAAAAAAAAAAAAAAAAAAAAGCCACTACAACCTTCATGCCTGCTGGCTGCTGCTGGCTGTTGAAACAGTAAACCTTCACACTGGGAGCCCCAGGAATCTCTTTTTATCATTTCCCACAGAGAAGGTTCAGCAGGTGTAGTCCAGGTGGTAGATGGGAGGATGTTCCCTGCAATACCTTACACAGAAGTTGAAAAATTGTAAACAGCTGAAGAGGCCATTGATAGGGGCCTGATTAAATTAGGGCCATCCTTCTGAGTCTACTGCTGTAATTAGAGTCTGGCAGCATCCACACACTGTCTTGGGCAGACACCCACGTGGGGCTTTGTGAGCAAAGCCAATGCAAACACCTACAGAATGACTGCACAAGCTCTTCAGAACCCTCTACTTCATCCATCCAAATATGTAAATGCGGTTAAAAAAAAAAAAAAAAAAAAAAACAACAGCAAGGGAGAAAGGCCTTCCCAATAGCCTGGTTGTAATCTCTAGGGAGGGGCAGGGAGGTGACAGGTGCATCAGAGCAAATTTCACCTTGCTGGAATTGAATTGTTTTACCACACTCTGTGTCTGTGTCACCTACTTATATGCAGAGTGAAAATTCAACGCCAAGCACAGAAAGCAGCACTTAGCCAGCGCTCAATCAAGGCTCCGGGCCATAATTATAGCCACAGTTCAAGGAGGAGCCTGCAGAGGTTCACAGAGCCTCATGTTGACGACTCCAGAGTCTCAATTGAGGGCTGAAGCCCTTTCAAAGGGGGCAAATGACATCCACAGGCATTTAGGAGGGACAGATTGATGCCATTCAGCTTGGCTGGGCGGAGGCAATGGCCCACCTCTCCCGGAAGAGCTGTGTGCCAAAAAAACTATTGAACTACATAAAAATCCATCCCTGAAATCCCACAGGCATCCTTAGGCTAGAACATGGCCTTTAAATTAGATGGAGGAGGGGGAAAAAAGAGCAGGTTTTGCCTGTAACTTGATTTCAGGTTAGTGAGAGCTAGTAGCCAAAGAACTAAGGCTGCCCTAAGCAGAGACCACCCACTATAGTCCTGTGACAGTGACTGTGAGGAACACTCCAGCCCCACCGAGAATCACTGATAACAAGCACATGTTTCCATGGAAACTGCTGTACGGATTCCTCTGGAAATCCTTCCTGTGGGTGGGGGGCACAGCTCCTGTACCCAGTTCCTGGGTTTGGGTTCTAGAGGTGATTTTCTTCTGCAAAGGTTGTGGAGAGCTGGAGCCAACTGAGGGGGCAGGCAGGGGCCATCAACTTTCAGCCCTTTACCACTCTTGGGAGAGGCTAAAGGTGGAAAGACTTAGGGCGTTGCTTGAAGTGTTCCTGATGTCCTAAGGCTCTGAAGAGGCTACCAGGTGACAAGACCTCAGAGAGTCAGCAGCCTAGGCCAGGACAGTGGGCGGAAATCCCTCTAGGCAGGGACAATGACTAGCTCTACCAATGAGATGTCATATCAGCCTTCCTTGAAAATCAAGGCTTCCCTTCACCTTTCCCATTCAGTCACCCTCTCTTTCAATCCCCCCCTCCCCCAGCTGTATCCCTTCTGGAGTTGCTGTTAGACCCAGAACGACCTCCCCTCTGCATCACTCACTTTGTACCCACCTCCTATCCCCTGTAGCTGGAGAAGCCCCAATGCCTTCTGGGAAGGGTGCTTCCATTTTCTGAGGAGGCCTGTCTGCTTCTCTGCAGACATGCCTCAGTGCCCTAGTTAGGAAGCACATACTCACCCCTCGGCAGGGCCCAGGAACCTCCCCATCTGTCTTTACTACAACATCCTGAATGGTCTGGATTGTTGCTGGAAACCCAGGCCTAGGTAGGCAGGGAGTGACTTAATCAAGTCTGAGTTGCTGCTTGGAGATGGAGCTAAGTCCTAAGAGAGGTCCTGTGGCTAACCAGCCTGCCTCTCTTCACCCTTTCCATTCACAAGCTGTCCCCAAGGGGTTCACATTCAGGGACCCCTTCTCCTCCCTCTTGGTCACTGCCACCTGCACCCCTCATCCCTGCATCAGCTCCTCCCTCCAGGCTCTCAGGCCTGGGTGGGTGCTCAGTCTTTTTTGTCCCATCTCTTCCTCCTCTCTTCCTGCTCCTTCCCTTCCCGGACTATTTTCTTGATTGACAGAGCCTTTGGGAACCCGTTTCCCACCCCAGACCTATCATTGCCCCAACCAGACCTCAGCCACCACACCATTCTGGCAGTGTCTGTGTCCTCAGGAGGGGCAATGGGTCAGCTTTCCTGGGGCTCCTAGTAAATAGCTGAGATTTTATTGCAAATGAAATAGAAGCCACAGCAGGCTTTTCATGGGGAAGGGACAAAAAAACAGTAGGTTTTGTCAGGCACCCTCAGGTGCTTTATAGGCAAGGGACAGTGGAGACTGCTGGGGCGGTGGGGGCTGGCTGCTGGGTCCTGAGCCAGGGCACCACATGATGTCACACCAGGCTTCCTCACTCTCCTGGAAGGGCTGAAAAAACCTGAGTCCCAGTCAGAGAGTCCAGACACTGGCCATAGAGCTCCAGAAGTGGGGAACGCAGCAGTCAAGTGTTTCCTGGATGAAGTTCCCACCCCAGCACTGACCTTCACCTCTGACTTCAGGAATCAGGACCTGGAGGCCACTCTGAGCCAGGCAGTTTCCCTTCTTTATAGACCAGGAATTAATTAAGCCAGCTTCGAGGAGCACAGACCTTCATTCAGCCCAGCAGACCATGAGGAGATTTGCTTGTTGTTCTCTGAGTTAAGGCCTAGGTAGAATCAGACTTGTAGGTTGCTGGCCATCCACTGGGCCTAGAAAAGCCTGGTGCCACTATCCGAGGGCACAATGGGCTTGTGGAGGTCAGTCTTTGTCTTCCCTTCTAGCCTTTCTCTTCCTTCAAGGAGGGTCTCACTTGCAGAGCAGAAAGTTCAATACTGCTTGGGCCAGGTTAAGTTTCTGCACACCTTCATGTCTCCAATTTGCTTACCAGTTTTGGAGTGAGAACATCCCAGGACCTTTTGAAGCATCCTATCAAGCAGGGTGGGAGTGGGGTGGCAAAGGGGAGCCCCCCCTCCCCACCCCTCCTCCAAACACTGAGACCTTCAGTCCCTGTCTTCCAAGGAGTTGGTTTTCCTATTGCAGGGGTGCCTGGAGGGTAAGATGAGGGCCTTCAGTGAGTTCCTGAGGGGCAGAAAGTCCACCCTGGCTTGGGCTTCTCCAGCACAGAGACTAGCCCGCCTACCCCAGGAGGCAGAGCACAAGCCACACAGAGGTAGCAGACAGCTAGGCTGGCCTCCATCTGAAGCAGAAGCAGGATGGGCCAAAAGCAAATAAATAAAGACAGAGGAAAATGGGATGGAGCTGCAGATGGTGGGGTCAGAATAGGCCACAAGGAGGGGATTTGAGGGAACTGGGTCCTAGGGTAGAATAAGGAGCAGAGGCCTGGAGAATCAAGGGCAGTAGGCACAGGAGGTAAGTACCCGCACAGGCTGATGGGAAACTAGCTGAGGGTTCTTGTTGGGGGAAGGAAGCTCCTGTTTAGTCAGCACTCCACCCCTACCCCCAAAAAGCTAGACTCTCCTTTCTCACCAGCATTGATGGGACCTCCCTGCGCCTGGCCCTGGTTCACCACACCACTTGTCATATCCTAAGCCTCCAAATCTGCCCTGGGCCCAGCCAGATTTTGTGCAGTTCTTTGATGCCCATTTTCATCTCTCCTTAGCCATACCATTTTCCAGTTCTACCCAATGTGTGGCCACCTTGTGCCTTCGGGCTGACTGAGCAGGTAGTATGGCTTAGTTGCCAGCCATGGGCCTGACAGGGGTCCCACTGTTTTCTCCTAGGGGTACGTCTGCCTGTGAACCAAGGTGGTGCCAAGAGAGCCACGTACACAGCTCTGCAGGGGATGGCAGTGAGAGATGCAAAGGTAAAGAGTTAGTGTCCACAAGAGCCCGGTGGGACTGAGGAGCACTGTGTCCAGAGGGCCAGAGGAAGAATGGCTCTCTTGATGGAGGAAACAGACTGGGCAAAGGCCCAGAGATGTGAACTATATGCTGGCATGAAGAATGTGAGAGCAGACCAGGCCAAGGCAGGGAGAGCCATGTGCAGGTGAGGTGACGGCATGTCCGCCAGGCCCTACTCCTGGCCCAGATCAGGTCCTTGGCCAACAGAAGGGGCTCTGGGGTCCTAATCCAAGACAAGGCTTGGGGCCTATAGAATTTCTCCTAGAGATTTTCATAGACGAGGTTAAATTCATTGTCTTCCTCAAACCTATTCAGTTTGTCCTGGGAGAGAGAAGAGAGGGAGGGGGAGAAAGGAGAAAGAGAAATATTAGGTAGGAGAAGACAAATTTGAACCAATATTTATTTGTTTATTGACTTAATCTCGCTGTGTAGCCCAGGCTGGCCTTGAATTCATTGCAATCTTTCTGCTCAGCCTCCTGAGTACTGGAGTGATAGGCGTGAGCCACCACGCCTGACTATGAATTTGTACCAACTTAGTTTTGGTTGGGAACAGGCAGATAACTTACTGAGTCACTTTGATAGGAAATATGACCTCTGTCCCCAAGCTCACTTCTTCTCCTGCCGTGCCTTTCCATAGCTGCCCTCCACCCTCTAGCCACACCAGCCTCCCCTGGCCTACACACCAGAATTCACCTACCTGTCTCGTGCAACTTAAGAGGACCAGCGAGCCCTCCCTATTCCTCGCCAGAATCTCGCCTCTCCACAGGACCTGTCCCTCCACACAGGGCTACCAACATCTCAGCATGCCTTTGGGGTCAGTAGTTTATTCCTGCAGAGTAGGCTTCTAGAAGGCAAGTGTACCACACTTTCCTGCCTCGACCAGAGCCTGACTCTGTATAGACACTGACAGATACTTCATGAGTGTGGTCCAGGGTGGGAGACCCTGCTTCTAGTTAGAGCCTAGCTCGGGTTTTGAAATCTAGAGATTCAATAAACACTTCCAGCCTGGGCTGAGGGAGGCAAAGTACCAGTTCCAATACTCCTGGAGGCTTCTCAATGGCTCAAAGGCCACCCACCTTGCAGGCCTCCCACACCAGCTTGACCACACTGCTGCTTTGCAGAATTCACAGCTGAGGGGCTCATGTTACTCTTTTGAATTCTGGCAAAGCTGGCAGCTCAGGTCACTATTACTCATCCACTTTACAGATGAACACACTGGAGTAGTGAGCCCAATGCCCAGTTATAATAACAGTCTTGAGCAGGCCAGCCAGAGTTGGCACCAATGCACATCCAATTCAAACTAGACCAGCATGTACCTGGGGCCATCTGGAAGTCTTCTGCTCTTACTTGATTGACCAGTGTAGACACTGCACAGTGCTCCCCAGTGATAGTTATAACCACCACACTGTGTAAATTCACACTGGGTCCTGGGTCACCTTCTGAGCACAGTGAGCTATCCTCAAAGAAAGTCTGAGAGGTGAGGATCACCTCTGATTACAAACCAGGAGACTCAAGCACCTAGAGATAAGTCCCTCTTCTAAGGCTGCAGAGCTGTTGAGGGATCAACCAAGTTCAAAGTCCTCTTAGCCAGCAGGTCAGCTTGTGGGGAGGGGGCAATCAACTGCAGGAGTTCCAGTTCTTTGGTCTATTAAATTCACATAGCATAGGTGAGGGAAGGGTCAGAAAGGAGAGAAGAGAATAGGCCCATGTCCCCAGGCCCAGGCATACCTTGGAGGGAGGACTTTGGCTGGAGACAGAGATGCCAGTCTCTGCCTCAATGCAGGCATAGACCTCTGTCTCTCGACGCTGCAGGCCCTGCAGGAAAGAGGGCACCAGCATCAGTGGCAAGTACGTAGAAGTGCAATCCCTGGGTTCCTAGATCAATCCTTCTGCCTGTTGCTAACCTGATGTATTGTGGAAACCCAAGCAAGGGCAGAACCCCTGGGCTGTCCTCATTAAGACAGCTAGTCTCTGAGCTCCCTGAGTCCCTGCCCTGACTGTACAGGATCAACTCTGTCTATAACTCACCACTTCCCTCTAGGACCACCAGCAAAGCCCAGCACTGAACTCTGTCCAGATTTCCACTTGGCTGGTGGAAGGACACACTCTTTCCCAAGTCCTTGAGGCCCCAGCAGCTACAAGCCCCCTGCATGACACCCAGAACCCCTGCTAACTTCTGCCTTCATTCCCTGGTTCAGAGACTGCCCATGAGGGAATCCCATCCACCCATCCAGGTCTCTTCTTACTCACTATCCATTCTTGGCCCCCAGACAACCCAGTCACCCAGTGGGATGTCACTCCTCATCCACCAATCCTTATGCCTTGCTGGAGGATTCCAGAGTTCAGCTCCAGAGCCCAGTGTAGAGCTCCCCCCCCCAGCCTATCATTTCCCTTTTATCTCCCCAGCCACCTTTTTCTGGACATCTAGGCTAGAATCATTCGTCAAATATGCACCCTTGGAAACACATGCTCCCACTCTCCCCTTTAACCATAGCCCTGCATATCCATGACTCCTCTAGAGAACTTCCTGGGAGCTGGGAAGCTGGGACCCAATCTCTGTGGCTCTCTTAGATCACATCCAAGGCACATCCACATCCTTCGGTGGACTGGGAACCTCTTGGAGGCAAACCAGGGACCATGCCTGGTTTGTCTGTGGGCTCCTGACTCTACAGCTGGACTTGGTACAACGAGAGTACCACCAAATGAGAACTGGTGAGCTAAAATCTCCCTTACTAGGTGTGTGGGACTAGTCCACTTCACTGCAGACTTTAGCAGTCAGACCACAGACTCCAAGATGCCCAGAAGAATTAGGCTTTGAAGTCAGACAAGACCAGGTTCAATTCTTGGTTCTGGGATCTGCTGCCACAGCCAGCTTCTTTGTTGCTCTCTCTGTGCCTCAGTTACCTCACCTACAAAATGGAAATTATCACATCTGTCCTGCAGGCCTAGCATGTGAATAAATATGAGGTTGCACATAAAGAGCCTTGCACAAAGTCAGGCAAACAGTAGGTGCTTAATATTGTTTGATAATCATCCAGAAAGGCATAACATTCCCCCTCTCTACCACCTCAACTGGGGTGTTTTGGAGCACTAGAACAGAGCTTGCAAAAGCCCAAGTAAGAGGCCTTCCCTTCCCCAGTGTACTTGTTATATGGATGCGGCTTGTTGCCAAGGAGGCGGTTTCCCTGGCAACAGTCAAGCAGGGGTTGGTGAGGCAGGCTGGAGAGACAGGTGGTACTCAGAGGCAGGAGGAGGGTGGAGAGGTGGGAGGGAAGAAGGGAAGAAAGCACCCAGAGGTAGCCACGCATGAAAACCTCTGTAATAAACCATTTGGCGCTTGGGAGACCCTAACTTCAAGGGCATCAGACACAGGGGTGGTGAGGCTGTTCATAATGTCTCTGAGCCAGACAGAGGGTGGGACCCAGGAGAGGATTTTTCCAACCTGCCTCATTTCCAAGGGAAGAGAACTTCCAAGGCCTGTTCTGACCCCTGTGGGTCTCTGTGCCCAACAAGAGAACTGGCCTCCTCCTAGTGCACAGGATAGGACATATTGTCCAGTCACACTGCGACCCCCTTTTCAGACCTGACAGACTCAGAGACCACAGGTGATTCCTTCTCTATCTTGTCTCCACTGTTCTGGGCTGCCATAGCAGGTGCAAACTCAGAGAAACCAGGGACTATCAGAGCTAGGGAAGGACACTCTGTTTCTGGCTGCAAAAGGCCAGGGTGGCCATCACTTAGCTGCAAGCATTTGACAGTCTTGACCTACTGGCTATATTTGCATTCAGGGTATGACCTGCTATTCAGACTGTGAAATGCAGGGTAGAGCCTTGTCATCAGGATACGTCTGATCTTCACATCCAGCCATGTCTTCCTGGCCTTCCTCGGCAATGGGCAGCAGGGCTAATGGGGAGGCTGCCTTGCTCAACTCTGCATGACAAAGGCTACACTGTATGAGACTGGGCTCTGCCACATTGTGTCCAGGCTAGGCTCTGCTGAGCTCTGCTCTGTGGTGGTTACTTGCCCAGTGCACAGTTACAAATACTCATTAGCCTGGTGAAAGAATTAAGGCCAGCCTCCAGGCTGGTTTAGGTCAGTGCAAAGCAAGCAGTCTGGGCCTGAACTTCCTCTGAGGGCACTGCATGTACTGAGAGTACTGAGGTCATGGGCTTTTAAGAAAAGAGCAGTACAGCCGGGCACCCCAGCTCACCAATCCACTCCTGGGAAAGATCTTCCAATACCGAATCTGATTGTTAGAAAAGTCACTTCACAGGACTGGAAAGATGGATAGTTGAGCAGTTAAGGGCACTGGCTGCTCTTCCAGAGGACCCAGGTTCAATTCCCAGTACCCATATAGCAGCTCACAACTGTCTATAACCCCAGTTCCAGGGAATATGGCTGGCCCCCAGGCAAAACACCAATGCACATAAAAATAAATAAATTTTTTTTTTAAAAAGTTACTTCAGAGAGGACAAGAGTAAGGCACTGGAGGGGACACTGGGCCAGGCAGAGAGCAGAGGTACAGGGGTCTTTAAAGGCTGCTGACATCCCATTTATTACAGTTATCCCCCTACCCTGCACCAGGTCTCACACTGTATGATGCTCTGAGAGATCAGAGCAGACCTCAGGGTACCAGCCCTGAGCTTGTGCAGAATGAGGAGGGGGAGGGGGCTTGAGGGCGACTGTGACCATCTAAGGAAGAGCTGGGCATAAAGACTTTGGAGACAGGGAGGAGTCAAGGGAAGCTGTTGTGTATATTATATTATTATAGAAAGGGCCGTCTGAGGACAAAGTTGGTATAGAAAGGACCTCTTGGATAGGTAGACAGTGACAGCTTGGAGATTATGAATAGGGCTCTGATTTTGACCTAGGTTGGAATGGCAACTCTGAAGGATTGTGGTGGTCTCAAGAATTGCTTCTGTAGGTATAGTCATGTACACTTCTAATCCTAGCATTTGGGAGGCAGTAAATCTCTGTGAGTTCAAGACTGGCCTATTCTACATAGTGAGTGAGTGAGGTCCAGGCCAGCCAAGTGAAACTGTCTCAAAAAAAAAAAAAAAAAAAAAAAAAAAAAGCTTCACTACCTCCACCTGCAAGAATGGGAAGGGAGTCTGTTCTGGCCTGAGTGACTGAGCACAGCCAGCATTTCCCAGAATGAGGATGTTAGGAGGAGGCACACACAGGCCTGAAGATTTGGAGTTTGGCTGGTAATTGCAAATGAGACATCTTGGTAAAGCTGGGTCCAAGGCTCAGAGATGTATGAGACACAAGCTGGGGCTGGTCCAGGCATGGATGTTGTTCAGAACCCTTCCCAATGAGATCACTCTAGGGTGAGGAATAATAAAAGAGGACAGGGGTTCCAGGGCTGAACCCCAATGTCTGCACCAATATTTGGAGATTAGGGTCCCATAGGTTCCCAAGGAGGAATCAGTTGAGTGGGGGCTGAAGAGGTGTGGCAGTGAATCAGGGGAGGATAAAGAAAGAATGAAATGTTCTAGAATCAAGGAGGAGGGAGCACTCAGCACTGTCAGAAGCTGCTGAGTCATCAAGGGACAGGAGGACCCAGAACTGCCTGCCACCACAGTGACTACTGAGGAGGGCTCTGGTGAAGGGTGGCAGCAGAACTATCCAGCCAGAAAGGAGCTAGGAGGGCTGTGAGACACCCTTGCCACACAAATGTACAGACCTGAGTCCAGATCTCCAGAATCCATATCAGACCAGGTTCAAGTAGTGCATGTCTGTTATCCCTGCACTCCTACCAACAGTGAGATGAGAAGCAGAGACCTCAGAAACCCTGGAAACTCACAGACCAGCTAGCAGGGAGTATGCAACATCAAACACAAGGAGACCCTGCCTCAACTAAGGAAGAAAACCAAAGCCCCAGACTGTCCTCTGACCTCCACACACATGCTGTGACACATTTGTTTGTTTTGTTTTTCGAGACAGGGTTTCTCTGTAGCTATGAAGCCTGTCCTGGAACTCACTCTGTAGACCAGGCTAACCTTAAACAAAGCATCACCTGTCTTTGCCTCTCGAGTGGTGGGATTAAAGACTTTCGCCACCACTGCCCAGCGACTGGAGCTTCAACACATTTAAATCCACACTCACATATACAGATAGTGTGCACACATGTACATACACAGATTTTTTTTTAATGTTAAAAAAAATCCAGAAAAGGCACCCTGGGTGTTCTGTCATCTGTGGAGAAGGGAGGGCAGCTGGAGGGGACACAGTTCAAGAAGAGGAATTTAGGACGGAAGGAATCGTAGTGTGCTGGGAGCTGCAAAGGCAATTAGGGATGACTAACCCTGCATTAATCATCACAGGACCAGGACTCAGAAGGTTTAAGTAGTAGAATCAGCAAGTTCCAGACTAGCCTGGGTTAACACAATGAGGTCCTGTCTAAAGTAATACAAGCATAAGGCTCTGCTTCTATCTGGCTGGCCCATCTAAAAACTCCAATATGTCAGGTTTCTAAACACAAGTTGGAGTGGTACAGTTTTCTTGGTAACTTCTGAGTGCTTTTCCATATGAAAGAAAGCAAAGCTGACATAATTAAAAGGAGAAATATGTCAATCCACCATTACACTGGCAGATACTTAACAACTGATAAGACAAAATCAATAGGGATCAATAAGAATATGGGATATTTTAGCAATGAATGAAGTATGGCTGCTTCCCAAGTGTGTGCAGAGCACTAGGTGAGACATAAAGCAAGATTCAGTGGAGTTTCAAGTATAAAAGAATATATGTACATATGAATAATAGATTTAGTCAGAGATAAAGAACATTACAGCCTGATGGTGGTGGCTGGTGAGGCTTTTAATCCCTGCACTTGGGAGGCAGAGGCAGGTGAATCATTCTAAGTTTGAACTCATCCTGGTCTACACAGCTAGTTCCAGGACAACTAGGGCTGTTACACAGAGAAACTCTGTTTCAAAAAATAAACATACAAACAAAAGAATATCACAAAGGGGCTGGAGAGATGGCTCAGCAAGTTGAAAGCACTGACTGTTCCTCCAGAGGCCTGGGTTCAATCCCAGCACCCACAGGGCAGCTCATAACTGTCTGTAACTTCAGTTCCAGGGGCATCTGATGGCCTCTTCTGGCTTCCTTGGACACCAAACACACAAGGGTTGCACAGACATACATGTAGGCAAAAGATGCATACATATATTAAAACCAAATAAATCTTTTTTAAAATTCTGTGCAACTCTAAATTTTAAAGTACAGTTGGACAACGAAATTCAAGCTTGTAATTCCAGCACCCTGGTAGTGGAGGCAAGAGAATTAGGAATTCAAAGTTAGCCTGGGCTATGGGTGCAAAAACAAAACCTCAAAATAAAAGCAGCCTAAGGGCTGAGGCCACTGCTCGGTGGTATAGCACTTACCTCTTGCCCAATATGTACAAGATCCTGGCTTTCATTCCCAGAAGAGAGCGAAAGAGAGTGAGGAGGGAGGGTGAGAGAAAGATTGATTGGGAGAGAGATTGATTTTCACATAGCAGCTGACACCATAATCTCTCATAGTGTTGAGTTGCTGGGAAGGAAGAGGAAATTTGGGGGAATCTGGGGCGGCATACGCTGCAGCAGCTGGTGGAAAGTCCCTGGAGAGGAGAAACTGAGGACCCTTTGAGAACTGTCCTGTTCTTAGAGCTGTCAAAACTACTCCCTAGGGAACATTTCTTGGCCTCATTGTCACCTCCCCCACCCTCAACAAACACAGCCTAATTCAGACCATGCTCTGTGTGGTGTTTTTAATGGCCAGATCTCATTTGCACATCAACTAGGTTCTAGGGACAGGAAGAGTAGCAAACACCTTCAAAGTATGTCCTGGGCTACCCAACCAGTCAGTTGTGGGGTCAGCAGCAGCACCTGGTGGCTCTGGCTGACACTGGGTAGTAAATCTTTTACATTCTCTACACTGCTCACAAATCTGTAAGCAACACAACTCACAGGGAGAGTCCCTTGTCTACATGGCCAGGCAGGCCCAGCCTCTTTATAACTTCGAACACTGGAATTGGCGAAGGGGGGATGTGTGTGACAAAACAGGGCATGTGACATATCTAGTCCCACATGGAGTCTTGTTGTGATGAAGGAATAAATGAGGAAGGTAGTGAGTGGGTGGACAAACGAAAAACCCTGGTGTCCCGGATGTGGGGTGGCAACTGGCTGGCCCTTTCCTTTTTTTGTGACTTTGGCTGCTGTTCTTTCAGTGTCGTTTGTACAATAGAAATAAGAGGGAAAAGCTTGCCAGCTGGGTCGGGATAATTTGGTCAGCTGAAGGAAGTTCCTTCATCCTTGCCGACTTTGCTCTCGCTGCTTCATGTCCCACACATGGCCTCTCCTTTCACCTTTGTAGAAATATCAAATCTGTAGAACTACTGTAGCCATTTTATAGATTAGAAAATTGAGGCACAGAACCCCCCCAACACACACAGTTAGTCAGGGGTCAAGCCTAAGAGAGGTAGAAGGGCCCTGGGACTCACCGTGTAGATGGGTTCTGCTGGAGGCTTGGTGATTCTGCTGGTGGATTTAGGATCAAGGCATGTCCTGGTGATGTGCTTGCCCAGAGCTGACATCTGTTTCTATGGGGAGAAGGGAGCCAGGGCTGTGGAGGCTGAGGAGAAGTAGCTCTCCCATCTCCCTCCCCTTACAGACCCCACTGGGGGGGATATTGCTGATTGTCATGGGGCCACACAAAAATTAATCACTCAACACTTTCTACTCACCCTCTCTAGGGAGAGGTGCCTGAAGCTAGAGGAAATGCAAAGACCCACATGAGTCATTGTCATAGGCAGAGTGTCTGACTCTGGGGAGACAGGGCCTGGACCCAGCAGCCACTATGGGTGGGCCCCAAGTGGATGCCAGCCAGCCCCTCACTGACTGTGGCCTGAAGGAAGACATTTTGCCTCTAGTTTCAATGTCTTCAGCAATAGCAACCCTTGGCAAGATGATTCAAAGAGGGGACATAAGGGAAATGCTTGGTGGCTCTTGGTGGCACTCAGTCAACCACCCCACACATTTACTGAACACCTCAGCTGGACAACGTGAAAGGGTGGAAGAGATGGGCATAGATAGCTTCTATGCATGGGGACCAATGACTCAGGAGGGGGATAGGAGGGGGAAATGTGAGGACTGGAGTGTGTTCAGCACGAACAGAGGAGAGGGCTCCAGGCAGATCCAGGCAGAAGCACAGCAGGCAGGCAGGCATGTACCAGACCTGCAGGCCTGAGGACCTTATGGAGAGGTCAGCCTGAGGTTAACTACCCTGATGGGCAGGATGACAGGCAGGGCAGTGAGGACAGCAGGAAGCATCAAGGGCTCCAGGTAGGGTGCCAAGACCAAGCCAGCTTTGGAAAACTCCCGAAGGCTAAAGCAAATGGCAAATGGAGTTGGAGAACACTGGGTCACCCACCTGGAAAAGCACAGGGCCCGAGCGACAGAGGGAGGCAGCTTGGACGCCCCCCTCATCACAGGCACCACACTGCCAACAGTGGAGCAACAAGGGCCTCATCCAGGGCAGGAGCTAATTAAAAACCCTGGCTGCCTGCCAATCCCCAGCCCATTTACTCCCGGATTAGCACTCAAGAGCTACTTAACTCACAGGCAGAAGCCAGCGCCACCCCCAGCCTCACCATCATACAAGCGAACATAGAGCCAGGCTGGGAGACTTGCCTTGTTGCTTGTGCTCAGCTTACCTGCAGAAGAGCTCTCAGGTCATCTTTGCTCTGCACATGAGGAAGTAAAGTCTCTGAGAGGGCAGGGAGTTGTGAGACCACACGACCAGTAAGTGACAGGGGCAGGATTGGAACCTATGTCTGCTTTGCTAAGATGCCAACCCAGTGCTGCCTAGAGTGCTGGCATCTGTTTGTGAGCATTTGTAGGTCTCATATAGATAGGTGCTGTCTGCCATCTGTGTGCGGTTTATAATTTGGAAAGACCCTGTCCTCTTACTTCACCCTCTCAATGGCCCGAGGGGGTGAGCATGGACTCACCATCTCACACAGAGGAAAGCGAGGCCCATCACCATAGTGAATGGCTGTTCAGAGAGGACACACAGATCTGGCACCTCCCTGCACTGCCTATTTCTGGAAACACTGCCACAGTTACACACCAGGGGCACTTGGGGCACCTCTGCCTTATCAAGACAGCTGGGATCATGGCCCCTCCCCTTCTGAGCCTGCTTGTCCAAATACTACCAAAGCTGAAGGACAGGAGCTCCCAGGCACTGGCTATTTGGAGGCTACCTGGATAAGTTCTTTGGATCCAAGGCTGGATAACACAGGTCTTGGTATGAGACACCTGTGGGCAACGGTGCCAGCCCTTTTCCATGTTGGGTCTGACTAGGCACTGGAGAGCCTGTGGCCTATTGTGCTTGCCACTGAGAGCTCAGGGGAGGCTACTGATTGCTAGGTGGGTGTGCAGAGGAGGAGAGAGGAGGGGGAGGATGGGGAGAAAGAGGAAGGGGAGCAAGAGAGGTGGGAGGGAAGAGAAAGGAAGGGAAGATGGGCAATGACAAGGGCACAGAATACCAAATGACACCAGTGCCTTTGTCACAGAATACCAAATGACACCAGTGCCTTTACTGGGACGTGTGGTGGGAACAGTGGTAGCTGTGGGAGTTGGAAGTGGTCAGATTTGCTCTCATCCACCTCCATGTGTGGCCTCAGGTGCAGGTGCAAGGTGAATGGAAGTTTGGGGGCAATGGGGAGGAGGTCAGGCTCTTCTAGCCATATCCAGCCAGCCAGGAGGCCCAGGCTGAGGCGGGAATCCTATGGGGACAGAGATGGAGCACCCTGGAAAACTTGGTTGGGGTATGTTTTGCTGTGGAGGTTGTAGATGTTCTGTCTCTTGGAGCTCTGCCTACTCAGGACCCTGGCCAAAGCAGCCAGAACTTGTCCTTTTAGGTTATAATTAGATGACTAAGCTAGCTAGCATGGCTTTTCTCATAGCGCTGAACTCTCTGTTGCTCATGTTTCCTCTCCCCAGTAGGCCGCAGTAAGGATCAACAGGCCTGAGCTGAGACCTAGCTCTTTGTACACTGCCAGAAGCTACCCAAGAAGCCTGTTACACCTCAGTTTCCCCAACTGAGAAATGGGAGCAATAAAGTCACCTTGCCCTCCTTGTGCCCTAGACCACACCTACTCATTTTTCAGGAGTCAGCATGTACATAGCCCATGATTCCTTCTACCAGAACCAACTATGTGCCAGGCTCTGGCAGGCAGCAGGGATATCAAGTCCCTGTCCTGTATGGGGTTTCACTCGGGCAGGGAGACAACAGAAATGCAGAAGCCAGGGGTCAGAGAGTAGAGTGAGGTGAGGAGACCAAGGAGCCTGAAGAGGGTAGAGGGCCCAAGCCAAAGCCAGGGAGAGGGACCAGACCCTAGACAGGCTGAGGGATTGGATGTGGGAGCAAGTGGGCAAGCCATACACAGCTCCAGGGTTTAATTGTGAGCCTCCATTTCCTGAAGAGTGTTCTTTTGGTGATGTGAGGTAGAGATGCCCTATGCCCTATAAGATGACTCACCATGTTCACCATACCAAGGTCTGGAGCTTGAGGAGGGGCTTGGTAGCTCACCAATAAATAAAACATAAGTCCCAGGACACATCAGCCACCCAGGTGCACAGGAGGGCTCTGAGAAAGGTGCCAGGATCTTCCAGGGTACACACACACACACACACACACACACACACACACACACACACACACACAGAGCCAGGTGCAGTCATCACACCTGCTTCCATGGCAGAGTCATGGTGGCCATCATTTTCTCAGGAGAGTGGCTGCTGTGCTGCTCAAAGTAACTCAGGTCTTTTTTAATGCCTTCCACCCCCATCCTCCTTCCTGTCCACATCCAGGACTCTTGGAATTGTTTCTGCTTGAAATCTCCACTAAGGAGACCTCACTTGTGGCAGGAGGTATTGACTACTCTGCCCAAACTCGCAGAGCTGGTAAGCAGTGGAGTTAGAGCACAAACCTAGCCCTGAGTTGTTCCTCCAAGCCCCTTCCCCAACCCCCACTGGCCACCAAGAAGGCTATCTTGAGATTTTAGTCTTTGTGTTCCCTCTGGGTTCCTAATCTCTGATATAACATCTGGTATATAGTAGGTACTCTGCTAAGATCCACTTAAGAATTTAACCCACATATTTACTAATAACTATGGAAGGACTCTGCAAATTATAATCCCTTTAGCAGATATTTACTGAGGTGGAGTACCTACTAAGTGCAGAGTCCTATGCCACAGGCTGAGGCAGGGAACAGGCATGGAGCAAAAGACCACTGCAAGAAGGTAAAAATGCCCCAGTGGGGAGTCAGCTCGCCTAGGGAGTCACCAGGGACAGCAAACAGGCAGGCCAAGAGCTGGAGCAAACTGCCCCCTTCACCTACACTCCAGCCTTTACTTGTCTTGTCCTTACTATATGACCATGGGCAAATCACAACTTTTCTAAGCCTCTCTCTCTCTGGGGCTATGAGATGGGAAGGAATGTCCTCACAGAGCTATGTGAGGTGTGTGTGGGTGGGCCAGGCACATAGCATCTTTTAGGCTCCTATTTTCTTGTACATGGCTGGCTATGAGAGGGAGGGGGCTCTGTTTGGGAACTTCATGGGAGCCTGCATCTTCTGCTGATTCTTAAAGGGATGAGTAACCTGGGAAAGTCTAAAGAGCCCCTATTTCTTTCAATTGTGTCTAAGTGGACCTGTGGGCTGATGGAGTACCCTCCTCGGGGCCTAGGGTGCCTTATGGGACAGGTCCAGCCCCTCTGGTCCCAGAAGCCTCCCCAGGTCCATAGTATAGGTGCAAAGATTCAGCATGATGTGTTATGTGTCCACTTGATCCTCACCTTCTTCCAAAACAGTAGAGCTGTGCCCAGCACACTCAGGATACTCAGCAGGCCAGTGAAGCCAAACAGTAGGCCCTCCTGGAGCTTGAATGAAGGTGGCTGGTATGCTGTGTCTGAGTTGGAGGAAGGAGAGCAGGGAGCAGAGATTAAGTTTCCCAGGAGAAATCAAGGCCTACCTGGCCCACCAGCCCTTAGTCTCAAAGCCTCACGGTGTCCTTTACCCATTCCTAACTCTTTACAACTTGTGACCTTGCAGGGCCCCCTGAGACCTTTCAGAGCCTTGGCTTTGTTGCTGTGTATGTTGATGGCCATGGTACTCCAAGGATAGGACTAGGTCATGTGCTCCTTTAGTGGCCCTGACTCAGTGAGCTGGCACCACTGAAGGATACCTAGGGCATCCTGGTGAATCATATCATCTTTGGGGTTCTCTGTCCCTGTATCTGAAATAATGGCAATGTGAGTGTGTGTTGTGAGGGTTGAGGGACACAGACTTACACTGGAACTGACAAGGACATCACAGCAAGGGTAGACAAAAGGCAAACTTGCCCTCATCATGAACCCTCCCTCCACCTTCCTTCCTTGTCTCCATCTGGCTGGCAGAAACTTACAAGGCTGGCAGAAACTTACATAGGACGACCTACTTCTGGGACTATAATAGTTACTTAGCAAGTGCCCAGGCAGCAGCCCTCCCTCATAGGCCATCCTATGAAAGAAACATCACTAAAGTCTTTCATGGGCAGAGTACTGCCATAAAGGTCAGGCCCAAGGTGTCACATCCAGGCAAGACAGGAAGTCCCCAGCCCCTTCCAGTGGGACTCACAGAGAAAGAACCAGGACTTTGAACATGCCTTGCTCTTAACTTTGGGGGTCTCACACTACTGAGAATGATAACTAGGAACTACTTCCAGAACAATGTAAAGCAGATGCTCACTCAAGCAAGACGCCCACAAGCCCATGTGTGCACATGCCTAACCCCACACCACCCTGCACTGACAATGGGATTCTGGCACCATCGGGCTAAGTGACCTCTCTCAAGTCATTTGTCCAAGGACCCTGGAAGGATCTGAGAGGCCATCTTACCTCTGATCAGAATGAAGGTACCACTGCCCTGCACCGAGATGGGCCCTTGGACTAAGCAATAGTAAGTGCCCGTGGCAGATGCATTTGGCAGGCTGAGATTAACCACACAATCCAGGGTGTGGTTCTCCATGCCAGGATGGTGTTGACAGTAAATTGGCTTCTCTAAGCTTCTCTTGCCGTGGAGATCTTCATGAAAGAAGCTAACAGTGAAGCCCTTGAATTCTGGAGTGTCCTGATGGTTGACTCTGCAGCTAAAGGAGACAGCTGTGTTGGCCAGAGAGACCATGATAGGGAGGCCGGTGTGGGTCACTGATATCCCTCCTGTGGGGGAACAACAGGGTAAAGTGATGGCTCACTGGAAGTTTCCTCATACCACATGTGCCTCCTGTGCGTTGTCTGCACAGGGTGATTCCCACAGAGACTCCATTTGTCCAAATATGGAGGCCAGGAAAGAGCTTTGACAGGAAGACTGAGAGTCAGGAAGGTCCACCACTAGCTCAGATTCTTCAACAGGTTGTGTGTAGGGGTGGGTAGAGACATACCCAGGGCTGAAGGGACCTCAGAGACTGCTTCTAACCCTTGTCGAACCCACAGTACAAAAAGCACCCATCTGTTACACATACAGACCTAAAGGGTCAAATGCTAGTGAAGAAATGAAGGGAGGGGGAATTCAGGAAACCAGAGCACTTCCTGGCAGGGAACAGAGGGAGCAGGTCTCCCTGCCAGCGGACAGAGATGGGGCCATTCCCTGAATCAGGGCTACAAGATGTCAAATTTCCATGCAGTAGAAGAAGCCTGGTTCCACAGGTGCCATCCTCCAAAGACACAGACCTCCTCACACATGGCCACTTGTGTTCAACGCCCATCACAAGGCCAGTCCGGATGGAGCCATCCTCCCTACCCCACACTCATCGGAAAATAGTCTAAACACTCTGAAAGCAGCAGCCCAACCCAGCCGGGCCTTCTACAAGCTTTGAGATGCTGTTCAGATTTGGAGCAGGGTCAGCAGCCACCACCCCCGACTTTGGCAACACAGGACTCTTAGCTTCAATATTCCATGCCTCCCGGGCCCTTCCTCTCCAGCAGCTGAGCCGCAGACAGTTTTTAAATTGAGGTCGGCAGCAAGCAGCCAAGAACATGCAGGCCGGCTTGTTAATCGGGAGAAGATCGTGGGTTTTTAGACGCTTAGAAACTCTCAGGATTTATTTTGCCAAGGAAAGTGAGCTGTGGGCCTCCTGCCTTGGATTGGCACAAAGCCAGGAGGGTCTCTTCTAGCCTCTTTAGCTTTCCCCTGGGGAAAGGGCCCTCAGGGAAGCCTGGGCCTTCTGGAAGATTCCAGGGAGGGAATGGAGATGACCCTCCAGTGAATCCTTACAGCTTTAAACAGGCTGGAATTTTTAATTTGATGTTGAGCCTCTAAGAGATACTCCACCCCCTAAAGAACAGGAACATTGATAGTGCTGTGTTTATAGAGTGGGACAACAGTTACTTTGGGAGTTTTGACTGAGCCGGTGCCCAGGCCCCTTCCCTGACAAGGAGTCCCTGTCCCAGGCTTCCCTCAGGCTGGCATTATCCTCTTATTCTCTGACCTCTGTTGCAGAGCAGCTATGGCTTGACTATACTATACACACAATATAATACCAGCAGAGCAATATTGTAGCTTTGTCATTAAAGAAGCCTTGATTCAGCCGGGTGGTGTCGGTGCAAGCCTTTAGTCCCAGCACTCAGGAGGCAGATGCAGGTGGAACTCTGTGAATTCAAGGCCAGCCTGGTCTACAAAGTGAGAGAAACCCTGTCTCAAAAAACCAAAGAAGAAGAAGCCTTGATTCAGGGTAGAGGTGGTCTGAGATACCATGTGGCTGAGGTGAGGAGGTAAAGGGCAGGTGTTATGACATGATCTCCAGGGATTCCAGACGGGCTGGGGAGTGCATGAAGCCAGAGCATGGAATGAACTACAAATGACTGAGCGCTCTGTTCACATTGCTAGCAGCCCACCTGTTGTCACACAGCCCCTTCTGCCACATGCCTCTTCCATCTGCAACTGCTCTGCCAGCAGCCCCCTGTACCTACAGATACCCTCTCTGTGGCCTGTGTCCCCGCCACCTGTACCACTTACCTGGAGAGGTCTCTGTCCAGAGCCCTTTGATCTGTGCTCCTTTCCTATGACCAACTCCTGAGGTCCTAGTCTCTGTTCCTCACAAGCTCCCAGTACCTGATCCTCCTGTTGGGCTCTCAGGATGCCCCTGTCAGGCCACTAGGCTAAGCAGAGCCTAGCTGGCTTCCCCAAGAGTTCCAAAGTAAAGGGTGAGTTTGGATTTCTGCCAAAGAGACCTAGAAAGGGGGTCACCCCGCCGTCCCTGGGACCTTTTGCTTCTCTGGTATTATAAGGTCACTCTCTGACTAGGGGAGTAGACATGCTGCCAGCATAATGAAGCCATTTTGCCATTTTTCCTGACAGGAAGATATCCATCCAATTGTCTTAACCTATCCCTCCCCCTTCAAAGCACCGTTCTAGAAAATGATGGAGTCTGCTAGAGCAATTAAGCTAATCTTCACAGTTCTGGAGATATCTATGAAAATAGATGTCTATTGTTCAACAGCCTATGGGATATGCTGTTTTAAGGTTAAAGGGTTAGGATCATGAAAATTCAGGGCCTGGATCAGGCCAGCCATAGTACACACATAGAGACTTTAGAATGAGAACCTGGGGCTTTAATGAAAATGCCGTGTCTAACTGGGTGTGTGTGGGGTGGGACACAACTCCTTCTATGTCATTTAAGCAATGACAACTAGTCTGGAGACAGCTAAGAGTCGGGGGGAATCTCAGTCTGTACACTGCAGCCAGGGTGTCTGTCCTGGGATAGAGTCTGTCACTGTCCCCCATTGTGTGGTATCAGCACCCCACAGCCTGGACCATGTAGCTACTTGTGGCTGTCTAGACCTTTGTCCCACTCCATTTGTCTGCCTGTGAGAAGCAGCCCACATTTAAGGTCCAGAGCTGCAGATGAGCTCACAGGAATTCTAAGTCCATGAAACCTTCTCCCCTGAACACAAGCGCACGCATGCACGCTAGGGGTACCAGGCAGCTTGCAGATCCTGCCTGGCCTGTCAGCAACTTCTGTGTGATGATAAAGGCTTACTAAGCAGAGATGGCTGGGGTGGGAGGAAGGGACTACTCAGTCTCTCTAGGTAAGTCAGGATGTACCTGGGAGTTGAAGACTTCTCTGACTTGGAATGGGTATCCAGAAATAGAAGGAAAAGAACATAAATAGAAAATCTACCTTAACCAGGTATGACATAGTCTAAATGTCAGTCTAATACCGTGAAGCAATTATAGTAACCCCACTCCACAGATGAAAACAAAAAAGCATAAGAGAGGCCACAAAGATGGCTCAGTATGGAGCTGGAAAGATGACTCAGAAGTTAAGAGTGCTGGCTGCTCTTCCAGAGGACCCAGGTTCAATTCCCAACCCCCACATGGCAGCTCACAACATGGTAGTTACAACAGTCTGTAACTGTAGTCATGGGGGAATCCAATGCCCCCTTCTGGTCTCTATATGCAAGAGGTACACAGACACATTCAGGCAAACACTCATAGACACACAATAAAAAATAAAATCTCTCTGGGGATGGTGGTGTACTTTTTTAATCCCAGCACTCAGGAAGCAAAGTCAGGTGGATCTCTGTGAGTTCAAGGCCAGCCTGGTCTATACAGAAAGTTCCAGGACAGACGGGGCTATACAGAGAAACCCTGTCTCAAAAAACCAAATAAATAAAATACCAAAAGAAAAAAGTGGTTCAGTGGGGAAAAAGGTTGTTACCAAGCCTGATGTCCTGAGTTTGATCCCTAGGACCCACATGGTAGGAGAAGAGAACAGATTCCTTCAGCTTATCCTCTGACAGCCACTCTCATGCCAAGGACACACTAAATAATTCCATGTTAAAAGAAAATACAGGGGGTCCTTAGAGGCTCAAAGCTCCAGGATCCATGAACAGCACAGTTGTGCCTGGAATGAGGCTCCACCTCACTCTGCTGAGGGTGGGGGAGAGGAAAGAGCCAAAGGCACAGGATGGAGAAGGGGTAGTGTTCATGGAGGAGCCAGACACGGTGGCCATCAGCTGCCAAAGCCAGTCTGCCAGATCCTGGCAGCCATTTGCACAGTCCAGTCATGGACAAGTGGTTACATGCCCTTTGGCTAGTGTCTCATGGATCTTTGAACTTTGGCAGTGTGTCACTCACAGGACAAGTAGCCAGGACTGGGAGCTCTCTGGGTATTCTCTGCAATTCTATGCATGCGGCTATCTTTGGAGATAAGTACCTCAGGAGTGGACCTGGGATTCCAGGGGGGCTGAGGAAAGAGAGGTCCATGGGGTGTGTTTTTGTTTGTTTGCTTGCTTGCTTTTGATTTGTTTTGTTTTTTGTTCTTTTGAGGCAGGGTTTCATCGGGTAGCCCTGGTTGTCCTGCTCCGTAGATGAGCCTGGCCTTGAACTCAGAGCTCTGCCTGCCTCTGCCTCCTGAGTGCTGGGATTAAAGGCATGTGCTATCCCACCCAGCTTGAGTGGAACCTCCTGTCATTGCAATTCCCAGAGCACAGTGCCCCTCACCCTCACATGGTTCCCCTCTCTCTAATTCCACCCAGGGTGAGCATGTGGAATGACAGGAGCGGGAGTGAGAGAGGAGGGGATGTGCCCCACCCTCCACAGGCTCCCAGCTGCAAGGGGGGCAGCCTTGTCGGTTACCACAGTCAGCATGGCTGGTACAGGGTTGGCGATGTGAAGGATTTTAAACGACCAAAGCCTGTGACTTCCTCAGGGTGACACAAGTCACTGTGGCTCTTCTGGTCATGCTAGAGACACTATAGGTCTTCAATGTGGGCTAAACTGAGACAAACCTGACACAGGGAATCAGTCCTAAGAACCTATGCATGTCTTCTGCAAGGGAAGGGACTAAATACCTCCAGTTTGGAGGGGTCAGGAAGGTTGTGGCAAGGTCCCATGACGGCAGAGCAGGGCAGTGTGTGAGAAGGCTGGAGAAGGTGTGAAGGTGCATGAGGTTCCTGTCCTGAAGCTGCTTGGAGACCCTTCTTTTGACCCAGGAGGAAAGGGAGAGGCAGGAAGAATGGAAGATCAGGTAGGGGTGTCTGGATGGGAACCTGAGTGCCTGTGTGATGGTGGCCAAGATAAGAGGAGGGAAGTGGGGAGAAATAAAGGTCAGATGTGTGTCTGCAAGTATGTGAGGGTGACATCTGACTCTGGATGAGAGAGCCCTGGAGCCTGTGTGATGGTAGAGGCAGGGGAAACTGAAAGTCAAGTTGGGTGG